AAAAATAGCAAAATCATCTTAAATTTTAAAAATAAGCATGAACATGGGGTGCCTGGGTGGCTCAGTCGGTTGAGCATCCAACTTCAGCTCAGGTCATGATCTCACGATTTGTGAGTTTGAGCCCCACCTCGGGCTTTGTGCTGACAGCTCGGAGCCTGGAGCCTGCTTCAGATTCTGTGCCGCCCCCTCTCTCTGCCCCTCCCCCGCTTGTGCTCTGTCTCTCTCTCCCTCTCAAAAATAAGTAAGTGTTAAAAAAAATAAGCATGAACAAACTCACTGTCTGTGAATCATGGTATTAAGTTCAAAAGTGAACTATAAGCCCTGTCATTTCCTGCCATTAACCCTCTCCACATACCACTCTACCTTCCTGCACAGCCTGGATAATGCCCTCTCAAGCTTTTAGTCAGGATATGTTGAAATTTATGATAGGAAGATTGATGTATGCATCAGGGCAAAAAGACTGGTAGAAAAAGGAGATTATGAATACATCAAATTTATAGTTTACATATTTGCACAGGGAAAACATATGAAGACCTCGAACCAACCTTGGAGTTTTGCAACACATATAAGATGACAGTTAAAAACTGGAAGGGAAAAAACCGAATAGCAGAGCTAAATGTGATGAGCATTTATAGAAAGAATGCTAGGATAATGAAGGGAGAGCAGGGCTTGGAGAGGTAGAGAGAAACAAGGTGGCATCCAGGAGAAAAAGTGTAAGATACAGAAACATGAGATCCATTCCAGGACTGTTAAATAGGCCATTTACACCAGACTATAAAGCTCAACAGAGAAAGGAAGCGGGGGATAAAGCTAGAAAGGCTAGATCAGAGAGAGCCTGATACAAGAAACCAGAGATTGGCATCATACAGGTAAGAGAGCAACACTGCAGGTTTGGATCAGAGAAGCACTAGCAGGGACAATTACTTTAGACTAAAACAGTACTTTCTTATTTGTTTGCTTGTTTTTAAGCATGAATCAGAAGTGTTGTAATCTTATTGATTTGCCCCTATACCCCATCTTCCCTTCCATTGTGCCTTAATGGCAGAGGCACAATTTTCTTCTGGTATCAACTCATTCCCCAAATGATTCACAGGGAAATGAGCCCACACCCACTCCAGGGCAAGTTCTGGTGAGTCTAAGCCATTGAGGTGGCCCCATTCCTATTTCTTATGATTACTTTAGGCGTAGGAATGTAATTCAGTTCTAACCAAGGAGACATGGGGTAGTCTGCTTTGAGGCAAAATTCTGGAATGAAATCCTCTCTCCAGAAAAGGAAGCACCATGTTGCTGCTGCCTTGACTACAGGGCCAACACACTAGGAACAGAGCCAAGAGCACTTGGGAAAACAGAGCTAGAGACTCATGTCCACGCCTGGGCCTGCTGATCTCTAAAGTTCTTGTTATGTGAGACGATATATTTATCATGTAAGTCTAATTTAGTCAGTCTTGTGCTACTTGAAGATGAAAGTATCTTAACAGACAAAAGCAGAAACTAGCAAAATGGAGATTGGCTAGGAAGTTTCTCAAGAGGCCCAAAAGGTAAAGAGACCACAGACCAAGGAGATTCCTATGAAAACAGGAAGGAATGAGATGAGACAGCCATTACACAGGACCCAACAAGGACTTGGTGCTGAATGTACAAGGTGTGGGAGAGAGGGTTTAAGTAGGAGTCAGACCAAAGCTCTTTTGCTTAAAATCATTAGAACAATTTTGTTAATTCACTAATCAGTTACCGTGCTCAGAATAATGCAATATACTTTAAAGCCCACTGGATTTATGATATCCTTCACCTTTTATAAAAAAAATAAAAATAAAAGGCCTCGGGCTATAAAACATCACTAAAAAATATATCATGTCTCCAACACAGGGGAAATATTAACATTTACAGCATTCATGGGCAAGAAAACTTTTATGGCGTGAAACTTCCAAAGAAATAAAAAGGCAAAAACGGTCACTACTTATTCAGTTTCTCTGTATCCTTTAGCAACTGACCCCAAATCTTGTAAAAATATCAAAGTTTCACAGATCTGAGGCTGCCAAAGAGCCCAGCCAATATAACCCATGTATTACTATTTCAAGCCACGAAAAGAATTCAAAGGCTGGTCTTACTTTTTGCCTTCTCACTCTTCCTTGAGGGTCTCCATCGGAGGCGGGTCCGATGTTCATCCAGGTAAAAGAGCCGGACGAGCCCTTTGGTTCCACGTTTCAGTTTGATCATCTGTGTCCCGGACTGCATCACACTCATGCATCTTTCAACTACAAAAGAGATTACAGCACTTTCAGCTCTTACACAATGCACATGCAGATGGGTGTTCAGAAACTTCACTGTCAAATAAAACCTCTGATTTACTCCTAAAGATTTCAAGGACCAAAAGACAAAGTTGGTAAAGGAAATCTAGAAAGAGCTATTGAGGAATTGATTCACCAGTCTTAAGCCAGTGAAAAGCCTTCCTGGTTGAAATAAAATTCTACTTCCAGATAAACAATTCATTAATGCTGCACAGAGCCATCTTTTGTTCTAACCAGCAACATATTTTTTGCTATGAGACTGATCATTTGATACCTGGATTTAAGTTCATAAAGCAATTCTCGGACTTCATATTAAGTCTTGTGAGTTTTTATATAGCCAGTTGTAAAAACATCTTGTAATAATGCTTTCACATACAATCAACAGAAACAAGATCAACAAAATGTTAACAATTTTTGAAGTTGGATAATGGTTACTTATGGGTTCACATTATTAGATTTTTGTGTATATTTGAAAATAGATACATATCATTTTTTAAATGTGATTAGAAAACAAATCATGTTTTCACAAATGAACATAAAACAACTGTTGATTAATGAAATAAACCGCTAAGATTTTCCACCTAGAAGAACAGCTTAGTGACTGAATTCAGGTAATATCCAAATCACTCACTGTCCAAGTTAAAACTATCATTTAGGGGCACCAGGGTGGTTAAGTCGGTTAAGCGTCCAACTCATGATGTCACGGTTCGTGAATTCATGTCTGTACTCACAGTGCAGAGCCTGCTTGGGATTCTCTCCTTCCCCTTCCTACTGTCCCTCCTGCCCATCAAAATAAATAAATAAACTTTAAAAAATAAATAAAATAAAATCTTTTTTTAAAACTATCATTTAAATTCTCTCTGCTTTGAGATGAACCTTGTTAGAAGTGGGCATCTGTCGGTGTTGCCTGTTTCCCCTTCTTTGGTAACTGGAAATACTCCTTTCCCATTTCATGTGCTTTTGGTGACCCCCAACTAAGAAATGGGCACCTAACTTAAGCTAAGAACAAATTTGACTCCTTTCCAAAGAACACAAATCCTGATCTGACCATTGAAAGAAAACAGAATGGAGCCATTTCAATGGCCAAGACTTAAGAGATGCTCTTGTTTGGCCATCCTAAGATGCCATAGTTGTTACAGTTATCCTTGAGGCTGACATTTTCCCTTTGATTCTGTAAGTTATCCAATATTCTTCCAAATACTTTCTCATTATATTAGCCAGAGATAGCTTTTATTTCACCTGCTAATACACAGGCACATATATAACCACTAGAGTACTAGAAACATCTAGTTCTGAGTACCTATCTTATCAAGCAGTATGCTGTTAGAAACAGATAAATCAAACACAGAAAACAGATTCCAGCAACATCAGACTTCAGCTTTTTTGACTAAGTATCTTGTCTTTACCAAGAAAGATAATGTGATCTTAAAGCTTAACACTATACGTGCAGGGTACTCGCTAAAAGTAACTTCAACGTAACCAACTTCCACTCTTCTTCACATGAAGAGCCTTTTCTTTTCCAAAGAAATTAAGGAGGAACTGCATAGTATCAAGCATCACTTTAAGATTTGATATTGCAAGGAAAGTGAAGTATAGGTTGCTCTTTCTCATTTTACTTGACATCAAATAATAAAAATACAGCTTCAGAAAACAAACACAAACTTAAAGTGTTTAACTTGAAGCGCAGAGCAAAATTTGAGATTTGGTTTTGCATGCATTAGAAAAGTCACCCACTACTGAGCACCATTCATTTAGGTAACAAAAGCCCAGATTTGAATTCTTGGCAGCCACACTGACCATCTCACACCAGTAATAAGAGGAAGAATAGAGAGTATCAGTGTATCAAGATAATATCATCAAGTCAAACCAACAAAGCCAAAACTCCTAGAAAAACCCAAGTACTTGACTGACCACTGATTATAATAGGTCACATCAGGGTGCCTGGCTGTCAGTAGCACATGTGAGTCTTCATCTTGGGGTTGTTAAATTTGAGCCCCATGTTGGATATAGAGATTACTTTAAAATGTTTTTTAAAGGAATAATTTTGATTCCAAAACCAGACAAAGACCCCACTAAAAAGGAGAACTACAGACCAATTTCCCTGATGAACATGGATACAAAAACTCTCAACAAGATACTAGCCAACCAGATCCAACAATACATTAAGAGAATTATTCACCATGACCAAGAGAGATTTATACCTGGGCTGCAGGGCTGGTTCAATATCTGCAAATCAATCAATGAGATACATCACATTAACAAAATAAAGGACAAGAACCACATGATCCTCTCAATAAATGCAGAGAAAGCATTTGACAAAATACAGCACCCTTTCTTGATAAAAACCCTCAAGAAAGTAGGAATAGCAGGATCATACCTCAGGGTGCCTGGGTGGCTCAGTCAGTTACATGACCAACTTCGGCTCAGGTCACGATCTCACAGTTTGTGAGTTTGAGTCGCGCGTCTGGCTCTGTACTGACAGCTCAGAGCCTGGAGACTGCTTCAGACTATGTGTCTCCCCCTCTCTCTGCCCCTCACCTGCTTGCTCGCTCACTCTTTCTCTCTCTCTCTCTCTCAAAAATAAATAAAACATTACAAAAAAATTTTAAAAAAGAAGGATCATACCTCAGGACCATAAAAGCCATATAAGAAAAACCCACCACTAATATCCTCAATGGGGAATAACTGAGAGCTTCCCCCCCTAAAGTCAGGAACACGACAGGAATGTCTGCTCTTAACATAGTATTGTAAGTCCTAGTCTCAGCAATCAGACAACACAAAGAAACAAAAGGCATCCAAATCGGCAAGAAGGAAGTCAAACTTTCACTCTTCACAGATGACATGATACTCTATATGGAAAACCCAAAAGATTCCACCAAAAAACTGCTCGAACTGATTCATGAATTCAGGAAAGTCACAGAATATAAAATCAATGCACAGAAATTGGTTGCATTTCTATACACTAATAATGAAGCAGCAGAAAGAGAAATCAATGAATCAATCCTGTTTACAATTGCACCAAAAACCGCAAAATACCTAGGAATAAACATGACCAAAAAGGTGAAAAATCTATACACTGAAAACTATAGAAAGCTTATGAAAAAAATTGAAGAAAACACACACACACACACAAAGGAAAAACATTCCATGTTCATGGATTGGAAGAACAAATATTGTTAAAATGTCAGTACTACACAAAGCAATCTACATATTCAATGCAATCCCCATCAAAATAATACCAGCATTTTTCAGAGCTAGAAAACAATCCTACCATTTGCATGGAACTAGAAAAGGCCCTGAATAGCACAAGCAATCCTGGAAAAGAAAACCAAAGGTGGAGGCATCACAATTCATTATTTCAGGATATGTTACAAAGCTGTAATCACCAAGACAACATGGTACTGGGACAAAAACAGACACTCATATCAATGGAACAGAATAGAGAACCCAGAAATGGACCCACAAATGTATGGCCAACTAATCTTTGACAAAGCAGGAAAGAATATCCAATGGAATAAAGACAGTCTCTTCAGCAAATGGTGTTGGAAAAACTGGACAACAAGATGCAGAAGATTAAACCTGGACCACTTTCTTACACCATACACAAAAATAAACTCAAAACTGGGGCGCCTGGGTGGCTCAGTCAGTTAAGTGGCCGACTTCGGCTCAGGTCATGATCTCACGGTCCGGTCCATGAGTTCAAGCCCCACGTCGGGCTCTGTGCTGACAGCTCAGAGCCTGGAGCCTGTTTTAGATTCTGTGTCTCCCTCTCTCTGACCCTCCCCCGTTCATGCTCTGTCTCTCTCTGTCTCAAAAATAAATAAACTTTAAAAATAAATAAATAAATAAATAAATAAATAAATAAACAAACAAACTCAAAATGGATGAAAGATCCAAATGTAAGATAGGAAGCCATCAAAATCCTTGAGGAGAAAGCAAGCAAAAACCTATTTGTCCTCAGCTGCAACAACTTCTTCCTCAACATGTCTCCAGAGACAAGGGAAACAAAAGCAAAAATCAACTACTGGGACCTCATCAAAATAAAAAGCTTCTGCATGGCGAAGGAAACAATCAGCAAAACTAAAAGGCGACCAAAAGAATGGCAGAAGATATGTGCAAAAAACGGTTAGTATCCAAAATCTATAAAGAACTTATTAAACTCAAAACCCTAAAAACAAATAATCCAGTGAAGAAATGGGCAAAAGACATGAATAGGCACTTCTCCAAAGGAGACATCCAGATGGCCAACCAACACATGAAAAAATGCTCCACATCACTCATCATCAGGGAAATACAAAATCAAAACCACAATGAGATACCACCTCACACCGGTCAGGATGGCTAACATTAACAACTCAGGCAACAACAGATGTTGGTGAGGATGAGGAGAAAGAGAAACCTTTTGCACTACTGATGACTATGCAAACTGGTGCAGCCACTCTGGAAAACAGTATGGAGGTTCCTCAAAAAATTAAAAATAGAACTACCCTACGACCCAGCAATTGCACTACTAGGTATTTATCCAAGGGATACAGGTGTGCTGTTTCAAAGGGGCACATGCACCCCAATGTTTATAGCAGCACTATCGACAATAGCCAAAGTATAGAAAGAGCCCAAATGTCCATCAATGGATGAATGGATAAAGAAGATGTGTGTATGTATGTACACACACACACACACACAGACACACACACAGACACACACACAAACACACAATGGAGTATTACTCGGCAATCAAAAAGAATGAAATCTTGCCATTTGCAACTACGTGGATAGAACTGGAGGGTATTGTGTTAAGCTAAATTAGTGAGAGAAAGACAAATATCATATGACCTCACTCATATGTGGGATTTAAGATACAAATCAGATGAACATAAGGGAAGAAAAATAATATAAAAACAGGGAGGGGGACAAAACATAAGAGACTCTTAGATACAGAGAACAAATTGAGGGTTGCTGGAGGGGTT